CACTTTCCCCCATCGTCTCTCTGCTTGCCTTCATCCCCTACCAAATCCTGAGCTAAAAGGAAAAAAGTTGAAGGTAGCGAGAAGAGGACCAAGCACACTGCCATAAACGCTTTCCCTCAGTACTTGGTGCCTCAGGGTTACTGAAGCCTCTGGAGAGGACGGTGCAGGCATGTCTCTGACCAGAACATTTGTTCTGCCAAACACCAAAGTTCAATGTCTTTTAGGAGCAAAGAAAGGTAACAGGATATGGGGTCCTTAGAGTGGTCTCTACTGGCACACAGCAGAGTGCCCAAATCCTCACTGTCCTTTGTGGGCAGACAAGGTATTTGGGAGTGGGACCTACTTCAAATTAATCACATATCACCTTTTCAAGAGACACTGAGAAGTGAGTTCTAAAAAGTTATCTAAGAGGCACTTGTTGGGGAAGGTGGCTGCCAGGCCCATTCCAACACCCTCAGTGCCTCAGCAGTCCCAGGAGACTGAGGCAGCAGCCACCTCCCACAGCCTTGGGGATAAGATGACTTGATCAACACAACCCTTCTCTGATGAATCACCTAACAACAGAGACAAGGGACTCCACTCCAATGTCACATTCACACACAAACAGTCCCATGACCTGAAACACCAGTTCCATCCCAGCTCACACAGACAGATCAGCCTCAGTGATGGCAGGGAGCAGTTTGACAGATCAGTTTGGCAGTGATGGCGGGGAGCAGCCTCCAGCCTCTGAACACAGCCACATCCCTTCTCTGTCTCAAGGATTTTAGTGAATAACCTTGGGGAAATCCACAACCTGCCTACATGGTTGACAGTGCAGAGTCAGGTGAATGGTGAATGGTTACTTTTATTCTAATGGTTTTATTTTCAGCTTGGCACAATGAGGTTATGAGGAAACAGAAAATGAGGTTTTTGAGAAAAAAGTTTTACAATTTTATTAAAGTGCATCGAAGTGCTTATCCATTTGTGTTTCAAAATATAACAGGAAATTATAGTCTCTGATTAATAAGCACTATATCTTTATCAGTGATTGTAATAGATGTGAAATAATTGCCAATTGAAAAATTACACTAATAAAAGAGAAACCTGCAAATTGACCATCATTCTGCTACACCCACCAGCCAATCAGAAGTAAGTATGCACATTAGCCCAACAAAGATGGCGCAGCCACGGAGTTGGAGCAAGCAGGAGACTTGGGTTGCCCCCGGCGATGAGGGAAGCCAAGCTTCCACCTGCCCTGGCCGGCCCTGGCCTCCACTCAAGGCTACAAAGTTTCAATTATAGAAGATAAATAAATCCCAGAAACCTGCTTCCAGCCGGCCCTGGCCTCCGCTCAAGGAGTCAGTGAAAAAAAGAAAAGAAAAGAAATAAAGGAAGGGCTGGGAGCCTGGATCGCCGGGAGGTTGGCCAGCCTGAAAACAACCCTCAGCTCCTCACCCAGGTTGGCCACACTCCCATGGGGTGAGGGTCCCCGCTGGGGGGCTTGGCAAACCTGCAACAGCCATCAGCCCCTCACCCAGGCTGGCCAGGCACCCCAGCGGCGACCCCCCACGCTGAAGGGGCTGTGGCCAGCTTGAAAAAAGCCCTCAGCCCCTCACCCAGGCTGGCCACGCCCCCCCAGTGGGGACCCTCACCCCATGGGGGCATGGCCCGCCTGCAAACCACCACAGGCCCCTCGCCCAGGCTGCCCCACGCCCCAAGGCAACCCCCACCCTTATCCGGGACACCTTTCCTGATCCGGCAAACCAGCTGACCCCCACCCGTGCACCAGGCCTCTATTTATACTAATAAAAGGGTAATATGCTAATTAGACTGGAAGACCTTCCAGGAGAGCTTCCGGATGTTCTTCTGGACAAAGCCATGGTGGCGGGGCTGAGGTAGAGGCGGTTACAGGCCAAGAGGGGAGGGCAGTTGTGGGTGATCAGGCTGTTGGGGGGTGGGGCTGTTGGGGGTAAGCAAACCAGCAGGGGGGCCAGTTGGGGACAAGCAGGCCATCAGTGGGGGTCAGTTGGAGGTGATTAGGACAGCGAGGGGGGCAGTTTGGAGTGAGCAGGCCAGTGGGGAGGGGAGGTAGGGGCGAGCAGGCCAGCACGGGGGGGCAGTTGGGGGTGATCAGTCTGGCAGGGAGGCAGTTGGGTGTGAGCACACTGGCACGGGGTAAGTTGGGGGTGATCAGGCCAGTTGGCAGAGTGGTTAGGGGCAATCAGACAGGCAGGCAGGCAGGTGAGCAGTTAGGAGACAGCAGTACTGGTTTGCGAGAGGGATATCCAACTGCCAGTTTAAGCCTGATCCCTGTAAACCGGCAGTAGGACATCCTTCAAGGGATCCCAGATTGGAGAGGGTGCAGGCTGGCCTGAGGGACACCCACCCACCCCCCACCCAACCCAACTCCTTCCCCCCCGCCATGCACAAATTTTGTGCACCAGGCCTCTAGTATATTCATATATTTTCAAATGTTCTGACAGCTTGAACTTGAAAGTTATTCTCCTTTTTCTGAAATGTTTTTCTATGTCTCTTCTTCAAGCCAATAGTTTCCCTGCACGGACATGGGAAGATTTGGTTCTCCTTCTAAGGACTCTAGTGCTGGTGTACTCTCCCCCTTTATACAGGAGAGTAAAACGTTTAATTCTGTCCTTAAGACTAATAGTAAATTGTGTGATGGAGGGAAGAGCTTAATCTCCACATTTCTTTATAACTCTTACAGAGTTTGGGTCTACAGGCATGAAACTTACTTAAGAAGAGAAGTAATGGTTAAAAGAGGATGAAGCTCACGTGAAAAGAAGGATCATGTCTCCACTTCTAGCAAGGAGAGACAGTTCTGATAGAGGGAGAATGGGACACAGGCCTGCTGACGTGGCTCTATTTCCAAACAGACAAACAGTAATCACTCACTTTTCAACAAACTCTGGGCTTTGTGCCCATTCTCTCTTTCCCAGATGTTTCAAGGTGTTCTTCTGAGAATAACTATTTACAGAGATTGCTTTTTGCTCAAATACAGTATAATGGAAACTCCTAAAGAGGGGTTTTGCCAGCCTGCTTTGGTCCACTTTCTTAGCCATCTACTATAATTTGTGAATCACACTGGTAAATGCTCCCAACAATAACTTGACCAGCCTCTTACCATTGCCTGCTTATAACCTGACATCTGCACTTTTGACAAAAGCCAGAGCACTTCCTCTTTCCCTGGAAAGGCTTTTCCTATCCTCTTTGCCAAAGAAAGTTTTTCTCCTCATGACTGGAGTACCTTCTTTTTCTATGAGGCCTGTTGAAATACCTGGCCATTCCTGCAACAAAGAATAAGAGAGAGGGACCTCAGAAACCATTCTGTTAACTCCTCATTTTACAGATGAGGAAACTGAGGAGCAAAGAAAGAGAACAATGTGTGGCCCAAAGAACATCTACACAGACTTCATGTTCTATACTAGGAATTTCTAGAAAATCAAGGTTAATTTTAAAGGTTCCTGTGAAAGTTGCTGTTTAAGGGAAACCTACTTTGAGTATTTCCTCAAATTCAAAAAATATATTACTTTATCTGTATAAAAATGAAGTTGCTTGAAATGAAATGTAACACCATTATCATCCTGCACTAACTAACTAGTTAGTAGCTGTGCAGTTTAAGTAGCTCTATGAATACCTGAGGCTGCTTCTGGAAGGTTGGCCACCTGCTGTTCAGATAATTATGTCACTTGTGTTTCTAGTGATTACATTTATGGCTTGATTATTAGGTTCTTAATGACACAAATGGAGGGTCTTGGCTAATTGAAGATTTCCCTTGTCCCCACAATGGCGCTGAAACTGTATTACTGTCCTTTGGAAACAAAGATGTCATGTCATGCCCACGTGCTGTGTCTGTGGGTGTGCTGTCTCCCAGTAAGAAGGCTGAGGATCCCAATGGTGCAGGAAGAAAGCTTAAAGAGGAGGCTGATGGCAGAGTCTTCAAGAATTTCACCGCGCTGGCTGTGGGTGGGTTAAGGGTGAGGAGCAGAGGTGAAGAAACAGAAAATGAAAGCATCAAATGTCCTTTCCAGTTGCAAGAACTGAACAAGTTCTGCGCCATAAATCTGGCGATCAACCTAGTAGCCAGCAAAGAATCCCTGGTTTGAGCCAGTGCGGGCCTCCCTGGGCCGCCCAGGCGGTGGTCCCTTGGAGTTCTACCTGCTAGGCTACAGGCATTCGCGCTGCCATCTCTGCCCAGCTGCGGAAAGTAAACATGGGGTGGGAATGTAGCACCGCTAACTCTACAAAACTGCACTATTGCCTCCTTCCCGTTCCTCAGCTCCCAGTCTGGTCCCACAAACTCCTCCTGAATTTCCTCTGCTAAGAAGGGAGTACCCTGGCCAAAGCGCCCTGGTAAAGTTAGGACAGGAAGCAGGAGGAGGAGCAGAAATTGAACTCATCTTGGCCTGGGAACAAAGTTGCAGAAAAGGGCAGGGCTTAGAAAGAGAAGTTTTTGTTTCTCACCTGCTTCTTCCTCCTTTGTAAGAAAATGGGGAGCTGGTAGAAAACGCAAAGATGTTCTGACTCCTGCTTTGTGTGTGTACACTAAAGGGATTGGGATGCTGTGTGGAGTGGAGACGCCCCTCGGGCGAGCCTTTGGGTAGTTGGTACCACGCCTAGTTTCTCTAAGGAGATCCGTGTCGAGGTCCTGCCTTTGGAGCTGGCGGTACCGCATCCCCGACCCAGGCACAGCCTGAGAGGCCCTGCATGGCCTGGAGCGACCCTGGAGATCTGCTTTGGAGACACGGTGTCAGCAAAGGCGTGGCTGGCTTGGACAGCAGGACTCGCGACAGCATGATGCGGGACACCTGTCCTGCCTACAGAAGCCCGAAGGGACACGGGCTGCTGATCCCAGAGTCCGGGAAGCCAGGCAATTTCATCTCCAACACAGGTCATCCGCTTCCCGTCAGTTCAATGCCCCTCTTGTTTGCTAACAGTTTGGAACAGGCCCGGAACAGAACTTTTTGCAGTATACCCCAAAGGGAGAAAAGCAAATTTTGAAAGATTGGACTGGCCGGGATTTGAACCTGAGACCTCTCGCACCCAAAGCAAGAATCATACCCTGAGTCCAAGAGCCCAGATGAGCACTTGCTCACACTTAAGATCCCTATGGACCCCTCTGTAGGTATTGATCCCAAGGTTCCCAGTAAACTTCCTGAATGCAAATCTTTATCTCAGTGACTCTTCGCCAAGGAACCTGACTTATGACACAAGAATACAAATGCACATGTGATGTTTTATTGTTTTCTCACACGAGGAAAGGTTTTATTACTTTTTAGAGAGAGAGGAAGGGAGAGAGAGAGAGAGAGAGAGAGAGAGAGAGAGAGAGAGAGAGAGAGAGATTGTGAGAGGGATGTCTGACTGCCCATTTAGGCCCAATCCCAGTAGGATTGGGCCTAAATGGGCAGTCAGACATCCCTCGAGTGGTCCCAGATGGGAGAGGGTGCAGGCTGGGCTGAGGTGCACCGGTCCTCTAGTTTGTGTTAATAAAAAGCAAGTGGTCCAGAGACAAGGAGAACCTAGCTTCTTAAGCCAGGATCCTCTGACCCCCAATGCCTCTCAAAATTATCTTTCATCTCTGGATTCTTACTTCAGTAAGAATCCTATTGGGATCGGGCCTAAATGGGCAGTTGGACATCTCTCTCACAATCCAGGACTACTGGCTCCCAACTGCTCGCCTGCCTGCCTCCCTGATTTTTCCTAACCCCTTCTGCCTGCCACCCTGATCACCCCCTAACCACTCCCCTGCCAGCCTGATTGATGCCTAACTACTCCCCTGCCGGCCTGATTGCCCCTAACTGCCCTCCCCTGCAGGCCTGGTCATCCCTAACTGCCCTTCCCTGAAGGCCTGGTCACCCCTAACTGCCCTCCCCTGTAGGCCTGGGTCCCTCCCAACTGCCCTTCTCTGCAGGCTTGGTCACCCCCAACTGCCCTCCCTTGCAGGCCTGGTCCCCCCCCAACTGCCCTCCCCTGCTGGCCATCTTGTGTCCACATGGGAGCATCCATCTTTGACCACATGGGGGCAGCCATCTTGTATGTTGGAGTGATGTTATTCTTGTATTAGATAGGATAGAGGCCTGTTGCACTGGTGGCAGCTGGCTAGTTTGCCCTGAAGGGTGTCTCAGATCAGGGCTGGGGTTCGCTTGGGGCATGGGACAGCCTGGGCGAGGGGCCTGTGGTGGTTTCCAGGCCAGCCACGCCCCCCAGCAACCCAAGCGGAGGCCCTGGTATCTGGGATTTATTTATCTTCTATAATTGAAACTTTGTAGCCTTGACTGCAGGCCGGGGCTGGCCAGGGCGGGAAGCTTGGCTTCCTCCATTGCCAGGGGCAACCCAAGCCTCCGGCTCTCTCCAGCTCCATGGCTGCCGCCATTTTTGTTGGGATTTATTTATCTTCTATAATTGAAACTTTGTAGCCTTGAGCAGAGGCCAGGTTGGCCAGGGCAGGTGGAAAGCTTAGCTTCCTCCATCGCCAGGGACAACCCAAGCCTCCTGCTTTCTCCAGCTCTGTGGCCACCGCCATATTTGTTGGGTTAATTTGCATAGTCACTCCTGATTGGCTGGTGGGCATGGCTTGCGGGCATATCAGAGGTACGGTCAATTTGCATGTTTCTCTTTTATTAGATAGGATTGTCCTAAGGCAAGGTGGAACTATACACTTCAAAGGGTAGGGTTTCATCTACAGAGTCCATTGTCAGAATGGGGAATAGCCTATGGCTGTTCAGGTGTTTGGTTATAGGAGGCAGTAACATGTATGTTAAGATGCCCTGAGCTGTCTGGCAGCAAACAATCATCCTATTCAGGTTTTGGGGAAATGCCTTTAGCCATTCCAACAGGTGATAACATATGTGACTCAGCCCTTGTTGAGTCCCCAAGGACCATCAACCTTTTGCTGAAACTCCTGCAATTATGACATGCTGGAATTGGCTTCCGGCAATCCCAGATGCATTTTAAGAGAAAAAGCAGAATTGGAAGCAGTATATACATAGCATACAATATCCCATATGTTATAAAAACATATACATAGCATAGACAAAATTGTGGAGAATTATGCACTAAAACATCAATGTTTTTATAGGTGATGAAAATACAAATAACATATTTGTATTTGTTTATTAGGTATTTTATTATTTTGTGCCTTTTCAATATTATCACCCACTTGGTAACTTAGAGAAATATATACTGGAGCTTTCTTATAAATAATTACTTACTATTGACTTATTCCCAAAATTAACTAATGAGAGTATCTAGTTCTATGAACTCTATTCCTAGATTTACCTCTAATTTTGGGTCTCTGATAAGACTGTATTATTAAAATTTTTATTTACCCAACGAATTGATGATGGAACCAAAGATAGGCTGACATTGTTTTTTCTTACTACAGAAATCAATATGTAATAAATTAGTGTATTAAATTGCAATACTTATTTTTTGTGCAACTCAGCTATACAATAACAGCTTTAAACGTCAATTCTGAAGACATAATTTCTTTAAATAAAAGATCAGAGTTTGTGCCTTTTTAAAAATATTAATATATACAAAATCCATATTGGGATAAAATTTATTTTTTTGCTGGTATTTGACAGGAATTCAGGAGGGTGGGAGTCAGGGTAAATAAGAATGTTTCTCTCACTTTCTGCATTTCTGTGTGAATGAATTTCTTTTTTATTTAAACTGAAGGCAATTAATTAGTGAGTACTGCAACAAAAGCAACTTTGCATCTTTGAAACACATAAAGGTCTTATGGAAATAGATGTTATATTGAGATTCAATCTTTCATTTGGGAAGTATTGAGAGGAAGATCTTTAGAAACAGAAAACACTGAAAAATTGTTTTAACTGAGTGCAATCTTAGAAATCATCTTTCTTCACGCTTTCATTTCTCAGAAAACAATTCTAAGTCTCAGAGAAGTCACTTGGTTTGGCCACAGTCACTGCAGGACCTGCTGACAGAGGCCTTGTGTCCCAGCTGGGGGAGGGGGCTGGGTGTCCTGCACCAACACTTATGCTCACACACGTGCTTGCTGACAGTGGGATACTTTCTCCTGAACATGTGACACAACCATAGTACTGCTGAGGTCTGCTTTTCTATTTCCTCTGTGAGAGATAAACTGGGGAAAAGGGGAGAAAAGTAGAGTTGAGTTTGGCGCAGTGCCAAGAATAGCAGAGAGGGATTAAGGATTAGCCTTTCTGGAGAAGTGAGACTCATATTCGGAGAGAGAAAATCCTGCCAGATCAGATTGCAGTGAAAGGAGGCATCAGGACTGTTTAATTCACAACTGAAAGCAGGTCAGCCAGTAGGTCAGAAGGTTGGACTTAATGAGTCAATAAAAGGCTCCACTTAATGAAATGTGAGACTTGTCCCCTGAACTGGATAAAGCTGAACTCTCTTCACTTGATATGCCTGCATGGACTTCCTCATCCACATGGTTTGTTCTTGACAATATCTCCCAGCTTTAGGAAAAGAAGCACTATTGTGCTCATTGTACCAGTCCTGGTGATTAACTCAAGGAGGAAAGCAGGAGATGGAAGATGCAAGACCCCCAAAATTCTAAGCAAATGAGTGTTCTCAAGACTTTGCTTCCTTGATGGAGCCAGCATGTGAGGCTTCTTAAAGAGAGGGAGAGACACTGCTTGGAGTAGATATTCTCCTGGGGACCTCTTCCTCCTAAGCTGGCTCCCCTTCCTCCAGCGTCCCTAGTAGAATCAACCAATGCCCCCAGAGCCTGGAGCTGGGCGTCCCGAGCCACTCATTCCCTCCCTGCCTCCACTTCCCTCACCCCAGCTGCCGCAATGGAAGTACCCCTGAAAATACCTCAGTATGAGTCCCCAGCCCCCAGAACTCCACAGGTCGGGGCAGCAGCAAAGCTATCCTGCCTTCTCCCTCCACACTTCACAGCAAGAAGGGCAGGGGGAGAACTCTTGGGAAAATCAGAACTAGAAGAGATCAATTTCACTATTTATTGCAGTTCTTTGGATGCACATCCTGGGGGCATGTTCCCCACCCAGGGCACACCAGGCAGCACAGTGTAGTGAGGACACTGCCCTGGAAGTTGGGGACCTGAGGCTGGTTTCTGTTTCTGCTACCAAGGTGCTGTCTGACCTTGGGACTGCTGTGACCTTCAGTCTCAGAAGTTCCTTTCCATTGCTATGTCCTTCCATCCCTTGAGTTCAAAGGAACTGTCTAAGTCTTTTACATATTGAAGTCTTTTGCTTGGTATTGAAGATACTTCTATTTGGGCCTAGAGTTTTCTTTCTGTGCCATCCTTCAACTCCTCCCAGTCACATGGAGGAACTTGTTATTTTCTAAATACACAGTGCTGTACCATGAGCATCTACTTCTCTTTCTGGACTTTTTTTTTTTTTTTTAATCTGAATTGCCCTTCCCATATGCCTAGTAGAAAACACATATTTATCTTTAAAAGTCCTCCCAAGGTGGAGAAATCAAGATGGTGGCATAGGTAAACACCTAAACTGCTGCCTTGCACAACAATTTCAAAAGTACAACTGAATGACAAAATGAACATCATCCAGAACCACAGGAAAGCTGGCTGAGTGGAAATTCTACAACTAGAAGGAAAGAGGAAAGCATTCGGAGAATCAGAGGTGCTGCAAAAGGCTGAGGTATGGATGCATGCGTGCAGGTGGCTGAGTGCCTGGCTGGCTTTCTCTAGTGGGAAGGAGACAAAAGCTCCCAACTGCGCTGAACCCCAGTTCCAACTGCAATGATCCCCAGTTCCGGGCGAGACCCTGGGTACCCAGGCTTATACGGAGGGAATCTGGACTGTCAAGTGGAAACTAAAGGGAACCACAAAAAGCAGAGGTCTGGAGGCGCATGCATGAGTGCACGAAGAGAAAACTGACTGCTGAATGCCGCTGGCTTTCTCTAGCTGGTGGGAAACAGAAGCTCCCCCACTACACTGAACCCCAGTTCTGGGCGAGAATCTGGGAATCCAGATTCATTGGGGGAGAAACTGGACTGTCTGGCAGCAGGCAAAACTCAAGGGCAGCTTACTCTTAGAGGTGCTTGCAGAGATTACTGAGGGACACTGAGACCCATGGGCATCATAGGGCAGGGC